CCCTGGACCAGGTATTGCACTTGGCTCTTGATCTCCACTAAACCTCACAACAGCCACACACATCCCTAAAGCAAGTGCCCTTCTAATTCTCAATTGACAGAGAGTCAAAGGGCTGGAAGACATGCAGGTCTTCTGATTGGGGAGGAAAATAAGCCCATCTTCCAGGAATACACCCCAGTGTTCAGTGCTTTTTCTACCACACCATCTACTCCTCCTTCACAAAGGGAACACTGTCACACGTCCCAGCTGGCCCCGGGCTGCCAAGTCTCAAGTGTTTGCAATGGGTGTTGTGGATTGAATTGTGACCTCTCAAAATCTGGGTGATAAATCCTAAACCATACCCCCATGGAGATTATGGCATTAGAGGACAGGGCCTTCCTTGTCATGGTCCCTGGACCCTATTAGTGTGCGCAGTGACCTTGAAGACACTAACAGGGCCATGGAAGCACACATGGGGAGGACACGCCCACCATATGGATGGAGACTGCCAAGGAAGAGGGTGCAGAAGCTATACAGAGACGAAGTTCGTCCCCATTGAGCAGACAGACAGACAACGCTCCCCTAGAGCCTGACTCTGAATCGGCACTTTTTGCTTCCTAAATCGTCAGAGAAGGCATTGCTATTCATTAAAACCTCTGGTTTATAGTGTTGCTGTAACAGCAAACCTACTGCCGACAAGTCGGTTGTGGCTCAGAGAGACCTACTGTAGATCTTTCTGTGAGCAGTGAGCCTCCTCTTCCTCCTGTGGAGCAGCGTGTGTGTTTGAACCACTGACCCTGAGGTCAGCAACCCAATGCTTCGCCCACAGCACACCAGGGCTCCATTCTGTATTAAGGACCCGAGAATCCCATCGTCTTCTTCATTCTTTAGGACTCATAAGAAACTAAGACCAAAGTGGGTGGAGGGAGACGTCGGTCAGTGTAAGACATGGAAAAATAATGACTTACAAATTATCAGTGGGGAGAGAGGGTGGGTGGGGGAGGGAGGGGCAAAAATGAGGAGCTGATACCAGGGGCTCAGGTTGAAAGCAAATGTTTTGAGAATGATGAGGGCAACAAATGTACAAATGTGCTTGACACGATGAATGGATGGATGGATTGTGATGAGTTGTACGAGCCCCCAGTGAAACAATTTTAAAAAGAAGAAAGCAAAGGTGGGGAACTGTAGTATTAAATAAAATTGTCGCTGGGGGGTGAGGTGCCAGCCCCCACCCGCTGCTTGAACTCACTGGTTCAGTAATACTACTTCTGGGTTCAGTAATGCACAATTGTACGGTTGAGATATATAAGTATTATATTAAAGTCATCGAGAGC